AAATGGTGAGTGTTATTTACTTGTTAGTCTTGTTGATGATAGGGGACAAGAGGTCACCTATGACAAGTGATTAGCAGATATCCAGCATCAGTAAATTTTGGCCAGGTCTGTACTAACCCTAGGACAAGCTGAATAACCATGCTGCTGTTGGACATGCTCACCTGTTGGTTAACAGTGGCATATTTATGTTGTGCTTTAACTAGTGTACAGCATGAACACAAAGAATCTTGGACTTGGAGGAGTTATTACTACTGCTACTAGTGCTTTTTTGATGATGTCCTTTGAGTTGATAGTCCAGGTTGCTAAGAAAGAAAAGCACTAATGGTTGTACTCGGGAGGACAACCTTGGTGGTGGCCTGGACATAAAAACTACACCCAAGGTAGAAGGGTTTAGATTATCGTGTTTGCTCTTGGAGGAGATAGGATGAGGTTGGTAGACACATTGCTTTCAGGTTGTGCTGACACTCTTGTGAAAGGCAAAGTAACTGACTGGATTGAGGTTGTGATATCCATACACTTTATAACGCAATCAGTTTAATTGATATACTAAGGAAATGTGGCATCCCCTGCAAAGAATGCATTGAAGAAACTTTATACAGTTAAGTGTCATTAATTAATGAAATAATGTCTGTTGGCCAGTTTGTCAAAAATTGTACAAGGTCAGTCCCAATAAATATTCATTATACAGACATGCATGTACACAGAAATAATTGCATATATATCAGTCTAGACATGCATACGTACCAGATAGATTGATAGATAAATGTAAATCTTGCAGTTAGACAAACAGACGTGCCTTCATTTCTGTATATGCATGCCTGTATGTGTGAATATTCATTGAGTCAGACCTTGCACAATTTGAACAATCCAGATGTAAATTTCGGAAAAAAGGCCAGTTATACAATTCCCGTTACAGTGGCAAATATACACACACACACACACACACACACACACACACACACACACACACACACACACACACACACACACACACACACACACACAACACACACACACACACACACACACACACACACACACACACACACACACACACACACACACACACACACACACACACACACACACACACACACACACACACACACACACACACACACACACACACACACACACACACACACACACACACACACACACACACACACACACACACACACACACAACACACACACACACACACACACACACACACACACACACACACACACACACACACACACACACACACACACACACACACACACACACACACACACACACACACACACACACACACAGGCACACACACACACACACACACACACACACACACACACACACACACACACACACACACACACACACACACACACACACACACACACACACACACACACACACACAGGCACACACACACACAGGGCACACACACACACAGGCACACACACACACAGGCACACACACACACAGGCACACACACACACAGGCACACACACACAGGCACACACACACAGGCACACACACACAGGCACACACACACACACACACACACACAGGCACACACACACACAGGCACACGCACACACACACACGCACACACAGCACACGCACACACAGGCACACGCACACACACACACGCACACACAGGCACACGCACACACAGGCACACACACACACACACACACACACACACACACACACACACACACACACACACACACACACACACACACACACACACACACACACACACACACACACACACACACACACACACACACACACACACACACACATACACACACACATACACACACACACACACACACACACACACACACACACACACACACACACACACACACACACACACACACACACACACACACACACACACATTCAAAACATGGCCTAATTCACTCAAATTTCAGTTAATATCACTGCCTATAATGTAAAGAGTCTTTGAATGCAGATTTGAATATTTTTATTAATTTATTTATTCCTTCCTTTATTTTTTATGTATGTATATGCATATGTATTTGTATATATGTGTACATACATCTAATTAGGGATAGTTGTACATATATTTCAAGTTTACATGATCTGAAGTCATGTGTAAACAAATGTTGAAATAAGTGCATTTAGAGATGAACTTTTGAGCTAAAGGTGAATGTACTTGTTGTTCATTTGACTATTTGTTCATTTGACTTTATTCATTTTTAGATGATGATGTTTTATTTATATGTTTATTTATGGGCTAATCAATGTATTACCTTTTTTAATAATTGAAAACTTTAGAGCAGTTCTACAAGTAACAATAAGGAAGCTTGATGAGTATACATCTGAACAGTTTTATTGATGTTTCCTTGTGTAGAGTACAACTTAATTGAATGAATAAAACACCTTCATTGGCAATAAGTTGATATTTTGAAAAAGAGTCATGGGAGTTGCAGAATTTATTTATTCATTTCCACATTCTCTTTATTGATAAGAGTAT